TTTGAACTTAGGACTAGTTTTGATTAGTTCTAAGATGAACATCGGGCATTGGTTATATGATGATTTTACAACCAATTTCTTAAAAAACACTCAATTTTTCAAAATTATCTTTTAATTTTGAAATAAAAAAAATTGAGAATTGTTGTTTTAATTGATTTTTTGATTCAATTATGTTGTTTTCATAAAAACTATACGTATTATGATTTTCAAACATTATTTTCCAAATAGTTTTTCAAAACATTGCCCTTTAGAATTTGGTTTAGAGAAACTTGAAATATTGAGGACTCATTTGAGTTTTGGGTTTGATTATATTGCATACATGTGTTTAAATTTGCAGGTTACATATTATATTCCGATTCTTAAACTATGTCAAATCCTAAACGACCTAGGACATTGTCTAGTCACTCAAGTCAAAACTGACCTCTTATTCCTCCACCTAATCCAAATAACCCACATATGACCATTCTGAACTCTTGTTTCACGTACCTGGTCGTAGACAAGATCTATATCATAGGTACCATACTTGTTTTGAGTCATACAAAATCCGGGAAGAACGGTATCCCTTCAATCCAAGCTATAGAAGATATGGACTTCCAATATCTTCCTACTCTTAAATCCTAGAAGTTTGATAAACTCTTTAAACTCAAACCTTTGGTTTATCATCAATTAGTTCGCATTTTTCTATTCCAATGTGGTATGTGTCTAAAACGAGCGTCGATCTGAAATTATAGGAATTCGATCCTATCTTTTAGGACAATTCATTTTTATTGACTCTGGCACAATCGCTACCCATTTTGGACTAGATAACTCAGGTTTAATGAAAAAGATACTGTGGATTCACCCTATAAGTCTAAGGATAGTGAGAGTACCCTAAGAACTTATCGTGATAGATTCCTTCATTATATGATCTCTTGGTGGTTTAGACCATCCGGAGGTAGGTACTACTCCCTTAGGAACATAGATATATGGTGGATATACTGTATCCAACATAAAAAGAAGATTAATCTTCCACAGATCATCTTTAGTGAGTTTTCATAAACACTATTCCTTCCAAGAATATATAAACTTTGGTTTATGGTTCTCTCCTTAGTAATTTGTTTATCAAACTCGGTCTTAGGGTCTCTTCTGGTATTCATATCCCTCTTCAAAACCAAATCAATCTTACTTCCTTGAAGAAAGCAAGATGGAAAAAAGAAAAGGAAACGGGTCAATGGATTTATCATCCCGAACTCAAAACTTTGAATTGTGAAACATTTTGATGTTCATGGATTATTTTATTTTGGATGTTTGAATTTGTTGGATAATTGGATATTTTAACTTACATTCTTATTTATTTGGTTTGATCTTTATGAGCTTCATGTTTATTAATTTTTCCATTATTGACATCTTAGTTGCATTATGACCAATTTACCATTTCACATTTGATTTGAATATTGATTATGAACACTAATGGCTAACCTCTCTTTTGATCTTTGATCTTAGCAACTTAAGCTATATTCAATTAAAATGTTTAATCAAATGGCTATGTTTTCAAAGCCTTCTTTCACTAAGTTTTTGAGTCTTTTTGATTTAACAAAAAGGGGGAGAAGTGTTAAGTGTTAAAAGTTTTAAAGGGGAGAAGTGTTATAGTAAGGGGAGTAATTTCAAAATTGATTTCAAAACTTATTTTCAAAGAAAATCTTAAAATTACTCAAGAGTTTTGTTATATCAAAAAGGGGAGATTGTTGAAAACATTTTGATATTTCGATATAACAAACTAAGTTTAAATGAATTTTAAGATTTTACAAATGATTTTCTAAAGTATATTCGATTCAATTAATCGAATATCAAATTATTACTCCAAGTCTTTCAAGATCATTTCAAACCTTACTAAATGTGTAAAATTGTGTTTTATACTTAAACTATTTTTGAAACAATTTTCACAAAGTATTTTGAACCAAAATCAAGCCTAAAATAAAATTTTCAAAGTGATGCACCGATGCACCAATCCATGCATCGATGAACCATGGAATTAATTGAACATTGAATGCATTTTATGCATCGATGCACTTAGTGCATTTGATGCATCGATGCACAAGACCATGCATCGATGCACTCAGGCTATTTCAAAACATCGAATGCATTTTATGCATCGATGCACTCTTAGTGGACCGATGCACTGAGAGTCCAACGGTCAAAATATTTGAATTTTACACTTGATGCACCGATGCACCTAGGGTATGCATCGATGCATGAGACGCTCCCAACCACTAATATTAATTGTTTTCACACTTAAACGGCTCTATTGACTCCACTAATCATCCCCAACGTTTAGAATCAATTGAAGGTGTATTTAAACAAGCTTAGAAGCAATTGATCAAGAACAAGAAACAAAAATCAATAAGAATCAAGAGAGAATCAAAGAGAAAGCATCAAACCTCAAGTTTGAGCATTTTCAAGCCTATTTCATTCAATATTCATTTTTGCTTTCAAGAACACTTATTGTGCTCAATTGTATTATTCTTGAGTGTTCTTCTTTGTTCTAGAATTGTGCAAACATCTTTCCTTGTGAGGATTTTCTTGTAAGTTTTCAAAATTTGTATTGTTCTCTTTGGGAGAGAGTGTTCTCAAGAATTTTGGGGTATAAAATTCTTGAGGGATTTGTAAGGTTACTCTTTGTCCTCAAAAGAAAGACAAATTAGTGAATTTGTGTAAAATCCTTAGTGTGGATAGCTAATGTAGTGGACGTAGACTTTGGTTGAGAAAGTCGAACCACTCTAAATCGCTGTGCAAATCTTTTCAATTTTCTGCAAAAGCTTCCACTGAAATTTTTAATTACCAATTCACCCCCCTCTTGGCCGATTCCATCGATCGATTAACTCAACATGATTCATTTTACATAACATATTGACTTGACCTTGGCTTCTCGAGGTGTAGGTTTGTTACCTAGTGCAACCATTCCTTTAGTTCCTAGTGTAGATCGTTGTTTAGGGAACGCGAGTGATGTGCTTCAAGGTGCATTGCCATCTCAAAATGCACAACTTCAGTCTTTAGGGAGTGTTCATTCTGTTGCACCAGTAGGTGCTACCTATTCAACTGGAAATACCATTCTGAAGGGATCATGATTTTGTCTTTTTCATGTTCTTCTTCAACTGGTATTCGTGATGATGTCACTGTTTTAACCTTGGGTGATGTGCCAACTTCTGGTCCTCTTAATACTGCTTCTTCATCTTCTTCTCACGGTGCATAATGCAATAATACTTATCCTATGGTGACGAGAAGCAAGGATTAGGTATTCAAACCCATGACATTTTCTTGTATATGGGGACTACGTTTTAAGAACATGTCTTCATTTCTCAAGCTCTTGTCTAACTTGAATGGAAGGTTGATGTTATTCAAGAACTTGATGCCTTGATATGTAACAAGACATTGAATATTGTTTCGTTACCTGAAAGACGTCAGGCGATTGGATGTAAGTGGATATTTTTTATCAAGAAGAATGTGGATGGAACTATTGCTCGATACAAAGCTACCTAAGTTGTGAAAAAATTTGCTCAAGTTTCAGGTTAAGATTTTCGAGATACATTAGTCAGATTGTTAAACCACCGTCTATTAATGTCCTCTCTCATTGGTTGTTACGAATAGGTGGTCATTACATCAAGTAGATATGAACAATGCATTTCTGAATGGTGATTTACATGTAGATGTGTTCATGATGCAACCTCTGGGATTTGAACAATATATTGATGACGGTACTAAGTTGGTGTGCAAGCTTGAAAAAGCTTTGTATGACCTTAAACAAGCACCCCAAAGCTGGTACACTAAGCTTCACGGATTTCTTCTTGGCGTGGGATTTGTAGGCACTTAGGCTGATGGTTATCTCTTTATAATTAGCATAGGGATGATAATGTGATTTATATGTTTGTGTATGTTGATGACATTGTTGTCACATGGGAAGATGTTAGTGAAATTGAACATATTGTTCGATTGTTGGGCGAGCAATTTTCCTTGATAAATCCTGGTGAGTTAAGTTATTTTCTTGGGCTTAAAGTTGAACGTCATGATAAGTCCCTTATTCTTCAACAACGAAAATTTACTATTGAGCTCCTTGATCGAGCTAACATAGGGAGTGTTAATCTGGTTACGACAGCAATGGTTGCTTCCTCCAAACTCATCAGTGATAATGGTCTATTACTTGACGATGTGCATAACTATCGCAGTATAGTTGAAGCACTTTTGTATTTGTTTCATACTTGTCCCGACATATATTTTAGTGTTAATCGTGTGGCACAATATATACATAAATCATGTGTGAAGCATTGGTTGGCTGTAAAACGTATCCTACATTATGTTAGTGGTACTCTCGACTATGGTTTGGTGTTTTATTAATCTTCTAATCCGAATCAGTTAATTGGTTTTGTCAATGTTGATTGGGCGAGTAATATAGACGACCGACGTTCTATTTATGGATATTGTGTGTATGTAAGAGGCAACTTGGTTTCTTGGAGCTCCAAACTCCAATGACTGATCTCGCAATCAACTACGGAGGCATAATATCGAGGTATTGACGATGTTGTTTCTGAGATTGTGTGGCTGTAAGCTTTGGTGAAAGATATGGGAGTTACTTTTGATAGTACTTCGGTTGTGTGGAATGATAACATGAGTGCTCATCTTGTTTTTCATCGTTCAAAACATGTTGAGTTGGATATTAATTTTGTGAGAGAAAAGGTTGAATTATGTTAACTACATACCGACTCAACATCAAATGGCAGACGGTTTCACTAAGTCCTTGAGTCGATCTTATTTTGTTTTATTTCGACTGGGTATTAATGTTTTTTAAAGCACGAATAAGGTGTTGTCTTGAAATGAAGTAGGGTGACTGCTAGTATTATACGGTTAGGAGGTTTTGGTGAACTCGCAGAATATTATGAGCTGACAAATATAGCTAGAGTTGTTGTAACCGTATAACAATAGCATGAGAAATGCTATAAAAATCAGTGATGAAAATAGAATAGTAGAGATTTTTTTTTATTAAGCAAAAGTTAACACAGGAAAACATCTTTTCTCTGTCTGTTGGATATGAGAAAGTTTAATTGACCAATAGCATGATGTTGAAGTGATATGAAAATATTTTTTAAATATCCAATTGGGGTTATGGATCTTTGAGGTTTATACCTTAGCGGATTGATGAGGCAGGTACGGTAATGGCAGGGGTAAAATTAGCTATGTTTATATAATTTATTAATAGTTTAGAATGAATCATACATGTGTTTATGTAAACCAAGACATTATAAAATGGATGAGACTAGACCATTTTCAAATACGCTATTCCCTTGAATATAATACTCCAATTAGCAATATCGGGAAAGAAAATTGTCAGACATGAATTCTTTATTCATTACTCCACGAAAAACGGAACTTCACATCGACTGTTTCCTGCCGTGCACAAAAACAAGTTCTTGTCATCTTGTCAGATCCTTATTCAAAAATACATAACTTTCCGATGATCCGGTCCAAAGTATTTGATTACGACCACACAACTATTAATGGGATACATACAGTACATGGTTTCCTTAACAGCTTCTAACACAAAGTGAAAGTTAAAACCATTACAAATAAACTCAGTACGTGTAGGTATGGATGGCCCCATTGAGCCCGTAAAGCTAGAGTGCTTCATCTGCTTTTCTATTTGGATGACAAATCAAATTTGAGCCATGCTCTGTTTGCTTCTAGAAATATGTTCCTGTGCAGTGTTGGGTTATAACCGATGGATATTTATATACAATGGGCGTGAAAGAGAGGGCCCTCGGCACTAGCTTTGGCCACTGGTAATGGTGACAAAAGAGAACTCGTGTAATAATGACGCTCAATAAAAAAAATTCCTTTACTCTCTTTATAATATGTAAAGCTGAAATACAGGAAGCTGAGGACAAAGATGAAGTGCCTTTAATGGGGGAGCCTTTCCAGATTCCACTAGTATAGAATATATCCCCCACCCCCAACCTTTTTCTTCTTCTTCCAAATAAAGGAAACCATGCATTTCGGATTCACTACCAATGGTAAATGTCAAAATGTTTCTTTATCTTCCTTGGCTTCTTGCTGTGTTTGTTGGAATCCAAGTGAAGAGGTGGACAAATTTGAAAGTAAGGGATTTTACTATTATTATTACTACAAAGTTTTGATGTTTCATGAAGAAATCAGAGTGCTAACATGGGCTGTTTTGGTGTTAGTGAGTTCATGCTATGTAAAAGGCTCGTCAAAGAAGATTGAAAATATAGAGGAGAATGGTTCTCAAATGTGGTTACAATCGTCTTGCCCGCTTCCTGAAACTCCTACCGAATCAATGGACTATCTTGCCAGATCATGGAGTCTGTCTGCTATGGAACTCTCCAAAGCACTTTCCAAGACGCATATACCACCTTCCAATGCCATTGATGATGATGACAAGTCTACATCGGCTTCTTCTGTTGGAAATATCCAAAAAGATCATTCAGGCACCACTGCTTCAAGGCAATCCGTAAGAATTATGATCCCTTCTCTTCTTTATCCAATTTGTTGTCAAAGAATCCTATGTTTTTAATAATATATAGTTTTTGCCTTCTTTTCTGCAAAGAATTTGTCTAGCTAGTATGATCGATGTGTCATATATACTTACCATGATTGGCTTTATTTCCAATGTGAAGATATACAAGAGCATTGTAAGAGGGAGAACAATGGGGAAATGGTTGAAGGATCAGAGAGAGAGGAAGAAGCAGAAGATTAGAACCCATAATGCACAACTTCATGCAGCTGTCTCAGTGGCTGGAGTCGCAGCTGCCGTCGCAGCACTTACGTCCTCTAATGCGATGGTTCCAGAAGTGGAAACTACTTGTCTTAAGACATCTTCTAAAGTATCTAATGCTATTGCATCTGCAGCCACTCTTGTTGCCTCGCACTGCATTGAGATTGCAGAGGACATGGGAGCTGATCATGACCAAATCTTGACAGTGGTAAACTCTGCAATGACTGTACGAACAAGTGGTGATATAATGACCCTAACAGCCGGAGCGGCGACAGGTCGTTCAAATTGCTTCTAAATTCCTTCATCCTAATCGGAAATTTGCATGTCTCTATTACCTTTTCCCTTTACTGATCATTTGCTATGGCTGAAGACACCATTAATTTAGTTGGACACCAACAGCTAATAGGAAATAGCTGAAGCATGATAATGGGATGAATTTGTCGATCAGTTTCATGATCATAACATTAATAGTATCATATACGAATTAATGCAGCCTTGCGAGGAGCTGCCGCCTTAAGGGCAAGGCTGCAAAAGACTGGGACTTTAGCTTTGGGTGAAGACAGTAACGGATCGAATATCTCAACCGCATTGAACTTTGTTGCAACCGGAGGAGAACTACTCAAGCGTACAAGGAAAGGTACATTTTCCCTAGTCTTATTAATCAGATATATCAAACCTTCAATCTTTATCATTCAGTTACAGAATATTACATCTCATTACAGGAGCTTTACATTGGAAGCAAGTTTCTTTCTATATGAACTCTAACTGGCAGGTATGAGTACTTGTATTTTGATTATTTAGATTTTGTTTAGCTTATATACTCTAAATGCATACTGTTTTGAGCTTGTTATCTGAGAAAGGTTATAACCTTTTACTGAAACAGGTGGAGGTTAAACTGAAAAGCAAACACATGGGAGGCACTACATGAAAAAGAAGAAGTGTAAGCTATGCATCATCGGCTCCTACTCGAGATTAATCGATTTTCTTATTAATTTAAGCCTGCTGTGTTAACAGAGTTTAGGGTGTGCGTTCCAGGTGTGATCGTGGGAGTTCATGATGGCATTCTTGCATGGCCAAGAAGGGAGAAAGAAGACAATGATGAGCAGAGAGCTTATTTTGGGATTAAAACTGCAGAGAGGATAATCGAATTCGAGTGCAGGAGTAGAAGTGACAAACAGATGTGGACGGATGGGATCCGACATATGTTGAATTGTTGTAAAAATATGGCATATTTCTGAGAGAGGCTTTTTTTGGATAGATGGGAAAAGCTTGATTTTCATTTCTGTGAAACAATCATGTTGAAATTGTATGTTTGATTCCTCAGACACTTAGCTGAGGGAGGTCATTGGAATGTTCCATGTTTGAGGCTTCAATATTGTTCAAGAACATTAATATTACGAAAAATTGGCGAACAAATACAACCAAAAAACTAAGTTCCCCATCGGGTAGATAATTCGAAAGCTGCAACAGTTTCATCAGATTTCAGGAACCATTTTTGTGATTCTGTTTAGCAGTTGGATTGGCATGAAAGCTCCATGAAAACCATCCGGGACTCTGCATGGTAGTGTAATTTTAGCAACTGGTACATTGAGGAAGTTCTTGGTGTCAGTTATATAAGCCTGTATAAATTAATCCAAGGAAATCAAGCAGAATACAGACAGATCAGATCAGATGAACCCTCATTTCCTGAATTATCAAAACAAGAACACTTGGTTCGACTTACTTGATACATTAGTATCTTGGTGGTGACAAATGTGATAACCCAACCATCATCTTCTTCAACACCACCTTCTTTAGGGCAGCTCCGCTACAATATGTGTTCTTCTCAAACATGTGATATTCTACTTTGATTGATCCTTCTACTTGGTTCCCACCCTATAGTTTTACATATTAAGTCCGGGGTACTAAATTCATTCAAGATAAAAGAAATGCATGAGAAACCTGTATTAATTACCTGAGAAATCCCATTGTTTTGCTCTCCAAAGTAGAGCTTGGCAAGTCCCCCAATTCTCCCTGAAGATACTAATTTTTTACCCATATTAATTTATTTATTATTATTATTATTTATATTATTATTATATTATAATTATTATTATATTATTATTATTATTATTATTATTAAATACATTAAATATTAATAATAATAAAAAATTACAAGCCAGATTTTCGACCCAAATCAAACTGAAACCCAAAACATTTAGGGTTTCAGTTAGGGTTTCCTAACCCTAATCCCGTGTGCCGCCGCCTCAATGGTTTCCAGCCGCCTCAACAGCTTCCAGCCGCCTCCAGAAGACCCAGATGGCCACCCACGTTGCTACTCTAGCAGTGAGTCACCACTGGTAGTCCGGTGACTCACCGAAGGGTAGTCTATTACCCGGTCCGATGACCACACCGGTGATGGCTATAAAGCCACCCCATCTGCGAGCAAGAGAAGGAGAACAACAGACCCCAGAGAGACAAAACCGAGAGTAAAAGATACAAAAATAGAGACCAAATCACAACAACCAGCAACCAAAAATAGAAGAAAAGGGAGGAGAGAAGCTTACCAAGGAAGCCACGACCACCGGAACCCTCCAAACGTCACCAACAACCTTCGAAAACCGAAGGTATTTTCTTAGATTTGCTCCGATTGGGAGCTTTTTAGGAGAAAAGAGCACCGGAACCGTCCTTAGGACGGTCCGATCTATCTACTGGTGTAAAAATAAAATTTTCCGGCCACCTTATGCGGTGACCGGCTTCCCTCCGATGAGGGAAACTAGAGAGAGGCGAGAGAGTTTTAAAACTCTCTCAGTTTAGAGAGAGAGAGTAAACTGAGAAATGAGAGAGTTGGCCCTTCGGGCCAGCCATTATGGACCTTAAATAGCCTTCCCGAACGACGTCGTTTCGGGAAGGACTATGCGTGTAATTAAATAATAGTTAAACCCCGTCCGAAGCCATCTAAACTTGTAAAATTTCCATTTTAGTCACTAAATCAAGTTTATAATACTTTTAATTTGATCTTTAAATTTTATTTATTTTAGTCCTTTATATTAAAATAATATATTTAGGATAAATAACAGATTTAATCCCTTAATTTTAATAAATAATATTTTAATCCTGAGTTCATATTTTTAATTTATTTTAATCTAATATCCGAATTTTATATAGTTTTATTTTAGTCACTAAATTATTAAATAAAGAAATAGCATGTTTAATCCCTATAATTTTGATTAATTATGAATTAGGTTTTTAATTTTAATTTTACTATAATTTAGTCAATAATTTTAAATATTTTTATTTATTTTATTGCTTTTAAATATATAGTTCTAATTGTATTTTTATTTTACTTGTTTATATATTTAAATATTTTTATTATGTAGTCATAAATATATATATATATATATATAATAAATAAATATTTATTTTAAATAAATTATTTTAATATTTATTTTTCAATGAAGAAGAAAAGGACAGTCTTAATATAACTGGATGTCCTATTCTGGTATTTTAAAATCAAAAATTATAAAAAATATTATTTAATTTAAATTAATATTTATCAATATCAAAGAAAAGAGCTGTCTTAAGGGACCTAGAAGTCCTTTTCTGATATTTTTAAATATTTTTTTTAATTTTGAAATAATAGGATTATAAATTAAATATATTTTGAATTTTTAAAATTTTTAATAATAGAGACAATTTATAATTAAAAAGTACCAATTTTGGGTAGGGGTGTTAATCCTTCCCTAAACGTAACCGACCACAAATCCCTTTTTATTATTAAAAAGAACGAATTTTTGGTTATAAACGCAGATCAGTTCATTTTTAATTGATGTTTTCTTAAAACATCTTTTAAAAAATAATTTTTAGGTATTCGACCTACCTGACCCAAAAGGCCGATGGCGACTCCCAAATTATTTTCAAAACCATTTATTCACATCAATTTTCCCGCCAAATAAATATTTCGTGCCCAGACGAAAACCGGTTACGACAGCTTGGCGACTCCGCTGGGGATGGGTCAAACTTTAAAATCAATTATAAATTGTCTCTATTAATTAAAAATTAAAAGTTCATATATTTAATTTTTAATTCTTTCTTTTCAAATTTTATATTTACTTATTATTTTCATAATATTTATATGTTTCATTTTACTTGTAAGTATTTTATTTCGTTATTTATTTTTCTGTCAAAGGTTTGAACATTTCTCCTCACACACAACACTTGCATTGCATAACATAAAGCTCTATAATTGAGTTTGTCCCTTTTAAGTGGGAGTGAAAGCGACGTCTTCGTGAGAATTTATTCTCCGTGTCAGACCTAGCAAGTAACTTTCGGGGTTCATATACTCTATGTTTTCGTGAGAATTTATTCTCCGTGTCAGGCATAGAGAAATGTATCCCCTCGAATTGAACTCGATCCATTTTAGTCTGTGATGGACTAGGATTGAGGGTTAGCAACCCAAGGGGGCACTAACAAGGACAATTCGGGTACCTTTATTCTTAGATCTGAAACCCTGCATATAATAAACCCTAGAAACTCTTCCGATCCGAAGTCATGCCGAAATTTTGTCCAAAATAAGTGTACACACAGGAGAAATGAATTCTAACTTTCTTGTTTATTTTCTTTACTGATTAAATTACATGTTTATTTAAATTATTTAAATTTAGAAAAAACATGTTTAAATAAAAAAAATTATGTAAATGTTATTTTTAAATTTCTTTATTATGTAAACTAATTTTTTCTTTTTGTGTGTTCTTTATTTTTCTGTTTGCATAGCATCATACAGGATAAAAGGCATTGATCCTTGTGTTAATTGTCTCATTGGAAAGCCTTCATCTATGGATAAAAAAGGTTCAAATCAAGTAATTCTAAACTCAGAAGTAAGACAATGGGCTGAAGACTTACAAAGACAAGAAGGAGACAGTCTGCAGGATGATTATGTATCTGACTTAGCCAGTTATGCTTCAGTTTCGCTAAAAAGAAATGATATGCAAGATTTGCGAAGTATTTGGGATTCAAACAAAAAATTGCAGTTTTATCAGACTTACGGAGACATCCCATATTTGCTCTATGTCGAAGTTGATGATGAATTACTCAGAGCCCTAGTTCAATTCTGGAATCCAGGGTACAATTGCTTCACTCTCAATAAAGAGGATTTGGTCCCTACTATTGAAGAGTACACAACTTTGCTACATATAGATGGGGCTTTGGAGAATCGAATATATTCAAAGTCAATTAAAACTCAACCATTTCGAGTTAAATTAGCAAAGATTGCCGGGGTACGAGAAGAATGGGTGGCATCCCGTACAAAACAAAAAGGCGAAAGCGAAGGCATTGCTTGGACCAACATTAAAGAACTTATTCAGAGTCATCCAGATATTAAAGTACGATTCGATTTATTTGCTCTGGGTATGTATGGTATGGTCATCTTCCCAAAAGTAGTGGGATATGTTGAAGCTGCAGTGGTAGATTTGTTTGAACAGCTACCGAAAAAGATTAATCCTGCTTCTGCAATTCTAGCAGAGACCTTCAGATCGTTAAATGCTTGTAGAAAGCTAGGAGGTGGACGATTCTCAGGGTATACCCAGTTGTTATATGTTTGGATCCGTAGTCATTTCTGGAGGACAGAAAAGGTTTCATACCGACGTTTTAATACGGATTATTCACCATTAAAAGAATTTCTGGAGCAGGAATGGCCGAAAGAAATTAAGAAAGATATGTGGATTAATGCCTTTCGAAATCTGCAAAGCAATGACATTGTTTGGCGAGCCCCATGGCAAATACAAAGGGAATTCATTTACAAATGTGGAGATTACAACTGGATAATGCTGCTCGGATTATGGGGAGGAATTGGATATGCACCACTTCTGGTCATAAGACAGTATGAAGGTCGTCAATTTTTACCTGTCACTGTTGGATTACATTCATCTGAGTTCGCATTCCACAGCAAAAATTATAAAAGAAACATCATGGAACCCGTTACAGCTTGGAAAACAACTTTTTGTATCCGAGCTAAAGCAGCAAAAGAAATGCTAACTCCTGATTATGAAGAATGGAGATCTGTCAGGAAAAATGAAAATATTCCTCTACCAGATCAAAAAGAGGAAATTTCTATGGAAGATCGCATTAAGGTGGTTCCATCAGAGATTGAAATCCTGAGAGCTGAGTTTAAAGCAGAAAGAGAAGGCTGGTCGAAAGAATTAGAGCAAATGAGACAAGATAAAGCTATGTTGGGGTTGACATTGACTTTCATTCATCACAATGTGCAATGTTGAGAAAAGATAAAGAAAAAGTTGATGATGAATTCAGAGCATTACAGAAAAATTACCAGGAGTTATATAAATCCCGGAAAGCATCAAGACCAAGCCAATCAACGGTACAGAT